AGGACCAGAGGACTGTGTGGGCCAGAAGCATGGTTTCAATCCGGTGACACCAACCAGTTCACTTCTAGCTCCAGTTATAAGACCGAAACGATTCTGGACAGGCTTTAATTTCCCTTAGTGTTAAATATAAAACCTAAGTATAAATAAAGACTTTTTGGGGGGTTGTTGAAGTCGACACCTAGTATAAGCTACCGACGAGGTCCCCGGATCCGTTGGTACGGCTACTGAATCAGTCTTGGGAGTCAGGGGGCGAGTTTGGTGCCAGCGAGTTTTTTTTATCTACATCTTGACGGCCCAACAGGTGGAACGTGGGGCTTGCATACACCTCGATGCTTGGCCTAGACATCTTTGGTCGTCCTTCGGCTTATTCTGCGCATGGATGGGGGCATCGGCTGCTTATTCTTGTTGGGGTGGTGGCCACTGGAGGGGCACGGGTGACCCTGCACCTTTTTTTGAGAGATGACTGATGGACCCCGAGGAACGACTACGGCGATCTCATTCCGTCGAAGGACTGGTGCGAAGCGACGGTAGATCTCCTGCCGTAGTTCTATCTACCACAAAGTAAGTGGCAGGCAAAATGGCCTTGATGACGTCACTTCAGAAGCTTTCTCACGTTTCGGGAAGTTGAACTGCAGGACCTCTGGCGCCTCAGGGGTACCAGGCAGAAACTCGTTTTCGTCCCGGACCTCCAAGAGGTCATCGGCGAGAAGGACAGGCAAGTGCCAGCAGCCTAGGGTGGAATGAAGAAGCCTGAAGAATTAGTTGTGGAAGTTGTGGGGGGCTCCTTTGTAGTTCTTGTATAAATAATCATACCATAACCTCATCCGTACCCTGCCTAATCTTTGAGGCTCCTACATCACCAGCAGGTCTTGGGCTGCAAGTTAGGCCACTGCAACAAGGAAGTACCCCTGCTGTGTTGCCTCTCACCTCACTCATCTCGAATCAGGACCAGCAGTGCCGGGCGTGACTCGTCGCAGAAACTGGAAGTGGGCTTAATTAAGAAAGCCTGATCGCGTGGCGCTGCTGGGCCCGAGCTACAGTACGAGACGTTGTGGCAGTTGAGGCATTGAAATTTCGCCTGAGTTGTCTGCAGTAAACCATACATCATGCCCCAGCCTGGAGGTACTACGACGCGTCTCTCGGTGGCACCCTAGCCCGAGTGCAGAAAGCTTGCCGGTGTAACGTGAACTGATGGCCAGCGCTGCAAACACCTTGGGCTAATCTAGGGGTCTGGATACCCATAGGCTCCTTAGTAGTTCCTTTTTGGGAATACCTTATAGGATTCTAAATATAAACCACAAAAAGGAACTGCTTAGGAGCCTATGGGTATTGCACACAGTAGTACTATCCCTGTACAGTCCTTACTCGCAACGGCTGTTTTTTTGGAGAGCAGATCCGGACGGGCAGCCAAGGGAGGCAGCACAAAGTATCCATTTAAACAACTTCCGTGTATTCAAATGTCCTTATGTGTATGTTTATTAATTATGTGCTTATATATGTGTGTGTGTGTATATGTATGTATGTATGTATGTATGTATGTATGTATGTACGTACTGTACTGTACTGTACTGTACTGTACTGTACTGTAATGTAATGTATGTAATGTACTGTACTGTAATGT